GCGACTGGGAGGTGCAGTTGTTTGTTGCGAACCGAGCGTAGGTGTTCCACAAAGCGGTCTCCAAGCCTCCACTTGGTTGGGTACCGCTTTGTGGAACACCTATGTTCGGTGCGCAACAAACAACTGCACCTCCCAGTCACAAACCATTTCAACTCCCCCTCCTACTCCTTGGATGAAATGTCCATCCTGGACCTCCTGCAGTGCCACAACGATGCCACCAGAAGGTTGCAGGAGCAGCACCTCATATTTCGCTTGGGAACCCTGCAGCCCAATGGTATCAATGTGGACTTCACAAGTTTCAAAATCTCCCATCCCCCGACCGCATTCCATAACCAGCCCAGCTTGTCCCAGCCTCCCTAACCTGTCCTCCCACCTCAAGCCCCACTCCCATCTCCTACCTACTAGGCTCATCCCGCCTCCTTGACCTGTCCGTCCTCCCTGGACCGACCCATCCCCTCCCTAACTCCCCACCTACACTCACCTTCACTGGCTCCAACCCCGCCTCTTTGACCTGTCTGTCTCCTCTCCACCTATCCATCTTCTATTATTTCTATTTATATTCTATTTATCCATCTTCTATCAGCCTCCCTCTCTCTCCCTATTTATTTCAGAATCCCCTTCCCCTCCCCCATTTCTGAAGAAGGGTCTAGACCCGAAACGTCAGCTTTCCTGCTTCTCTGATGCTGCTTGGCCTGCTGTGCTCATCCAGCTCTACATCTTGTTTTCTCAGGCTACATATATACCCTTTGTTTTTGCTGGAATAACCAATTTGCTTATTTTGCTAATATTATTCATCATCTATGAAAAAGTTGTGCTCCATAAAGTTAGCTCTAAAGTATGAGTAAGAAAGGCTTTAAGAAAACTTAGAAGAGTAAAACAAGGAGGTTTTTAGCAACCAAAACGTAACCAGCAGGTGTAGGGCTCAAGGTTCACTGGGCTCAAAATGTTAACTCTACTTTCTCTTCACAGATGTTGCCTTACCTGTTGTATTTCTCAGCACTCTTTTTTTTTCAGATTTCCAGCATATACAGATCCGTATGTTTATTCCAGCTTTTAATAAATTTGCAATCAAATGTATTTAGCAACAGGAATGCTATGTCTCTGTACACGGATCTGAAACAGTGGCAATCCTCTCAGCCTAGTAACCATGGATATTGGCCCGGTGGTGTTTGCACATTTTAGTTATTCTACTGTAATAATCAATTTAAAGTCACAACACTTGGTAAAATTCCATTAACTGCTATAAGTAGGAAGGTTTTAAGATTTAAAATCACAAACACCTACTTGCACAAAATATACTAAAGCTAAATCAACTGCTGACAAAAATTATATTCAACTATATAATATATTCAAGCATGTTCAAGAATATAGGACACACAGTAGGTCCATAAAATGTAACTGGAGTGTTTGCAAGAGTTTTTAACTATGCGTATTCAGTGAATGATACTATCGACCAAGTACAGGATTGCTCTCCACTGCTTATAAGATATCAACGTGCGACTAATTTGGTTCATTCCACGTGTCATTAAGAGGAGAGTAGGAGAGTGCACTGGACACAGTACAGTGTATGGACCTTGACAATATCCTAGTAGGCGAGGTTAAAGATCTCTGCACCATAAGTAGTTGCTCTGCTTGCTGATCAGTTTCCGTGCCGCTCAGAGCACCTTTCTATCAATGCGAAAGATTGCTCCATGATGCCATGCACATAAAAAGAAAGAGGAAGATCTAACCCAACTTATTACTGCCCCATTGGTCTCCTCCCAATAATATGTAAAGACTCAATGTGGAATTATTTAGTCGTTTTCACAACAATAGGATGTTCTAAAACACTTCACAGCGAAATAAATGTTTGATATGCATTTATTGTTGTAAAGCAGGAAGCAAGGTAACCAATTTGCAGACAAAATAACAATGTGAGAAAACAGAGCAATCTGTTCAGTGATGTTTGGAAAAATTCTGTTCCTGAACACCAACATCCATCCGTTTAATAAAGAAGATTAATTTTTAAAGAAAAAAATGAATGTCTTCATTGATATTATATGAATATACTAATTTGTACCCATACACATATGCCAGTTTCAGTAGGTCACAAGTGATCTAAAACATTTTATAGTAGTTATACATTCTTGCTATCGAAAATACGTATCAACATAAACACATATTTAAATACAATATTTATGACTTTCTTTTTTACCTCTTTTCTTTGTCAGTTCTTCTTCATCTCCCACTTCATCCTCAGTTACCTCTGAACCGGTAGTATATTCTTCATCTTCAGAATACATTATTTGTTGTTTCTAAAGGAAATTACGTTTTAATGTTTGTGGCTATACAATGATTACTTTATATCTAAACATAATTTTTGATAGTTTTAGTACATTAATTTAATATTTTAGCTTCAAATATAATTTTGCAATTTTTATTTAGAAACAAGGACAACTTATTTCAAGCTGCTGACTAGAAAAATAATCAATGTTATGCCATTTTTAAAAAAATTGCTATCTATAAACAAATTGAATTGGGAGAAAATAATGGAAATATTACGAACAGAACTACAACTACCAAAGGAGGCCATACCACTTTCTGCTAAAGGGAAATTAAGAACTAGCCATTTTTGGAAGGATGTTGTCATCTAGGAGATACGAGTGTTGGGTTAGCAGAGACACACAAAATCTTCAAATGCCTTCAAATTATTATCTTAATTGCCCAGTATGTCTGCAAATACAAGATTTCTAGTCATTCACTTGCCGAAGACTTGAATAGAACGAAAACCTCTCACTCTGGAAAATAAAGCTATCGTGTATAAAAACACATCATGGTATGTGGATATAAAGTTTATCAACAATCTAATTTTGAAATATGAATGTCTAACTGGGTATTGTATTTTCGAAGTAGAAAAGACAGGTTTACATGAATTAAATTTCACCACTAATTACTGAGGAAGACTGTTTCCTAACTATCTTGTTCCATGACAAAGTCCTTGTGTTGGATTCAGGGTTCAAAACAACATTATGGATCCTTTTTCCTCAATTTAAATTTGTGCTGCACCATGCCCATTGAGATCAGAATGTGTAAAATCTCTGGGAGATATTGATAGTTATCATTCTCTTTGCCTATAGAATCAACACTGATATATTAGACTATAATACATGGGCTGCATCTGCTGGCATCCAAGTCAGATTTAAAAAGAATGATAAAAAGCTAGCAAACACATAAAATTGAAATGATTTGAATGAAAGAAAATATTGGTAAATGCAAGAAGATATCAAGCAAAATAGCTTTAAACAGTTTTTTAAAAAATTGGTTTTATTATGGTGCATGCACAAAATGAAAAATATCAGAAATGAGCATGTATAGTCGGCAATTAGGGGTAGATTATTGCTGTTAGCAATCATTTAATCATCCCCATACGTTTACCACACTTAAATAATTCCATCATCTCATCAACCCTGCCATTCATACCATGACCATCAATCCATGTGAACATATGAACATACGTACAAACTAGGAACAGAAGATAGATTTTGGGTCGGTCGAGCCAGCTCCACTACCCACATGCCCATTTATTTTCTAAAGCCTTTGATTATAAAAAATAAAAATATTCCGTGACTATGCCTCCACCATTTTCCAACTTAGAGAGTTCAAAATTTGCATCATCTTCTGTCAGAGAACATTTCTCATCACTCCCCTAAAGTGGTGACCCTTAATTCGTAAATAGTGTCCTGTTTTTCTGGACTCAACCACAGGAGTAAACATTGCTTCCATGTCCAGCTTATCAAGGCCATTCAGGATCCACAATCAAGACATCCCTCACTCTTCTAAATTCTCTCTCAAACTTTCCTCAAATGAAGAACTGAATATTATTTAAATGGAGAAATACTGCAGAAAGCAGCAGCCCTGAGGGATTTGGAGGTCCTAGTGCAAAATTCAAATCAAGCAAGCATCTAAATTCAGTGGGCGATAAGAAGGCAAATGGAATGCATTTCAAAGGGAATGGAGTATATAAATAAAAAAAACCAACTATAACTATAGTTATAGCTCTGAAAACTACAGAAGGCACTGGTGAGACCACAACTGGCATATTGTGAACAGTTCTGGTCCCCTTATCTCAGGAAGATTGGGGAACTGTACAGATAAGGTTCGCTAAGTTGATCCTGGGTAGAGGGATTTTCTTATGACGAGAAGTCAAGAATATTGGGCTTGTATTCATTGGAGTTTAGGAAAGTGAGAGGAGATCTTATCTAAGATTCTTATGGGGCTTGATAGGGTAGATGCAGAGAGGTTGTTTCCCCTTGTGGGAGAATCTAGGACCAGAGGGCATGATCTCAAATCAAGGAGCTACCCATTTAAGACAGAGATAAAAAGGAATATGTTTTCTCAGAGAGTGGTGAACATGTGGAATTCTTTACCACAGAGGGCTGTCGAGGCTGGGTCCTTAAGGATATTCAAATCTGAGATAGACATTTTTAATCAGTAAGGAAATCAAGGGGAAAAGGAAAGTGGGTTGAATATTTTCTGATCAGCCATGAGCTTATTGAACGATACAGTAGGATTGATGGGAAGAATGGCCTACTTATGCTCCTACATCTTATAATCGCATACGACAACACATGCATTCCAGGAATCGATCCTCTGAACTGCTTCCAATGCATTTACATCATTCCATAAATAAGAAAACCAAAACTGCTCATAGTATTCAAGATGTGGTCTCATTAATGCCCCCTACACAATTATAGCCTTACAGCTTTACTATTATGTTCAATTCCTCTCATAACAAAAGATAACATTCTATTAGCCTTCTTAATTACTGCCTCATTTTTGTGACCAATTCAGTAAACCACTAAATCACACTGCACCTCAGAATTCTGTAATCGCTCTCGATTTACAGTAATGCTCTGCTTCTTTATTCAGAGTCATACAGCACAGAAAATGGTCCTTCAACCCATTATGTCTGCACCAATCAAAAGCAGCCACCTAACTGTCCTAATCCCATTTTCTACCATGGCCCATAGCTTTGTATGCCTTGGCATCGAAAGTGTACATCAAAATACAATTCTTCCTGCCAAAGTGAAAACTTCACGTTTTTGCAACCCCATTATGGTGAGACTTTATGAGAATTATAATTTGGACGTTTTTAACAAAGGTTGGCCATTAAAAGGGTGAAAATATTAATGTGATATGCTGAAAGAAATTGTGGGACAGTTAGTAGATCAGGAAATTTTTACACAATAAGTTGGGAAGCCCTGTTTCACACTGCAGTGGAACTAAAGGAGAAAGCAACTTATAAAATGGCTCTCATGAGACCTATTCTTAATGAAATTTACTGAGAAGTTGATAAAAGCTGAGGTATTAGAATTTCTGACTTTTGTCACGGAATAACCATTGCACTTGCCTTAAGCTTAAATCTCAGCTGTCCATTTCACAATTTACACAAGTCACATTTACATTCAGTCCTATGCCCACTAAATTGCATTGGCTCACAGCAACGCATTGATTTAAAAATCCTCATTCACCTTTAAATCCCTCCACAGGTTCTGTCCTCCTTTGCTCTGTAACTTCTTCAAGCCCTACAACCTTTCTCATACTGACTCCATCTAACTCTGGCCTTTATCCATCCCCAGTTTCTTTTGTTGCTCTGTCAGCAGCCATTTCTTCAGCTGTTTAGTTTCTCCTCAAGATACTTCTCTTTGACAGAACACATCACCACCAAATATAAAGGCTCTTTTTTTGCTCAGTATTAACGTTTCTACTTTAACACTCATATATTACCACAAGCGACACTTAACTGCATTAGAGATGCTACATAAATGCAAGTTGTTGTTGCAATGGCTTTTTGATTAACATAATCTATGCTCATGTTTGGTACAGGAGATTAAAATTTAACCTTAAGAAAATTTAAATTTTGTGTGAAGAAGCAAGATTTAAACATGAGTCTTCAGACTAATTCACAGCTGATGCCAATATTTACCCTTGCAGACAAACTAAAACATTTTGTCATTAACCAAATGTTCATACGTTATTTGAATAGATAAAAACATATGCAAGAATTTTAAAATATTAAACAATAACAACAATTCAACATACCAGCTGCAAGCTCCAGTTTTTCAAAAGTGAAAACTGCAAAATAAAGTCAGAAAAAGAGTGTAAAACAAACAAAAAGAAATCAAATAAGGAAATACAACAGTATGGAATCCAACACATACATATAATCAGTAATAGTCAGATCTTATTTGCATTAAAGCTAATTTTACTGTCTTTGTCATCAATCCATTCAAAAGATTTATAAATAATCCACAATGAACATTTTGAGACAACAAAAGTTAAATTAGAGCTGGAAACATTTATGCAAGTAATAAAGAAAACTAATAACCAGTTTCATTCTCTGCCAAATGTTTTTCAGAAGTCATTTTGCATGAACAAATTAACAGCTTTAAGTAAGGCCTTTGAAAAGAGTGATTACTCACATTTAATATCCTTAAGTGCTTCCAATATAATTAATCTAAGTCATGTGTCATTACACATTGTTATCTTTTGGTATATATTTAAATAACCGAACCTCAACAACTAAATAATAAATTTAGGTCTAAACTTATTGCATAAATAGAAGAAGTTTAATTCTGAGATGTCGGAAACCAAATCGCAAAGTATAAAACCTTTTGTTTGCTTGGTCAATTTCACTAAATTAATTTAAAATTACATACTGTAAATGGGTAACTTGTAGTTTTATAATTCAGAAAGCCATATTCACATCTTGGGATCACAAATTTAAAGTGCACTACCAAATAAGTTGAATATTTTTTCTGAAAAGGGTTTTACTAATTCACTAAATGGAATAGCAGCTCCCATCTACAACTAAGAAAAAATTGCCAGCATCAAGTAGACAACAGAGATTAATTATTAATACACTTTTCCTGGTATATAATAAATACAAAACCAAACAATCCTTCATGTAAAACTGAATCCATGACTCCTAGTCCCAAGCAAAATGCTTCTTTGAGACTATCTCATTAGTAGTTCCAACATCACGTCCTAGAGTAGAGTAAAGGTTGGCCAGGCATTCTAAATAGTAGGAATACCATAGCCAACAGTCTACTTTCAAGTAGCATCACTGAAGTATATTCATTTGCCATTTGTTGCAACTTGCAATGCACAAAAAAGCTGTGATTTTCTATGTAACATCTACACTACATTTTAAAAGTATATATAAACAAATGAAAAAAAAATTCTTCTGATCTCTGTCCTGAAATGGCAGGCCTAATTTTATAACAGTGGCCACCCCAGTTCTGGACTGACACATAAGAGAAAGCGTTCTTTCCATGTCAACTTTGTCAAGACCTTTCAGGATCTTTTACATTCCTATTATGTCACCCCTCACTCATCTAAACACCAGTGGAAGCAAGCCCAGTCTGCTCAACTTTCCTCATAAGCAATCCCACACATTCCAGGTATCAATGTAGTAAACCTCTTCAGAGCCACCTCCAATGCACTTATATCCTCCTTTAAATAAAGAGACCAAAACTGCACACAGTTTTGAAACATGAACTCATCGATGCCCTGTATAACTGAAACAAAAACAGAAAATGCAGGTATGGCAGCACCTTTGGGAATAAAACAGAGTTAATATTTCAAGTCAGATGATAATCAGACAAAGACCCATTTCTGTATTTCCTGTTTCTTGCTCGCCAGGTTATCTTCTATCCTTGCTATTATAACAGAAGGAAAGCCAAATCAAATCAGCCATACTATCGCTGGATTTGCAACACAAAACATTCAACAACCCTCAAAATTGCTCAATTATTTCTATCCAGACTTTAAAAATAGCAAAGTTTGGATACCAAGTTTAAACAAAAATTAACAAATTGTTATTAACTTTAGAAGAACACAGATAAGCTACAAGGCAATCTAATTAACATAGAGTCATGGAGTCATAGAGCTGCACAGCACGGAAACAGACCCTTCGGTCCAACTTGTCCATGCCGACCAGATATCCTAAACAAATCTAGTCCTACTTGCCAGCATTTGGCCCATATCCCTCCAAATACCCCCTGTTCATATACCCATCCAGATGCCTTTTAGATGTCATATTTATATCAACCTCCGCCACTTCTTCTGGCATCTCACTCCACATATGCACCATGCTCTGCATGAAAAAGTTGCCCCTTAAGTCCCTTTTAAATCTTTTCTCTCTCACTTTAAACCTATGCCCTCTAGTTTTGGACTCCCACACCCTGGGGAAAAAACCTTGGCTATTCACCCTAACCATGCCCCTCATGATTTTATAAACTCTACAAGGTCACCCATCAGCCTCCAACGCTCCAGAGAAAATAACCCCAGCCTATTCAGCCTCACCCTATAGTTCAAACTCTCCAACTTGTAAATCTTTTCTGAACCCTTTCAAGTTTCACAACATTCTTCCTATAGCAGGGAGACCAGAATTGCAAGCAGTATTCCAAAAGTGGTCTCACCAATGTCCTGTATAGCTGCAACATGACACCCCCCAACCCCACCAACACCTATACTCAATGCACTGACCAATAAAGACAGCATACCAGATGTCTTCTTCCCTGTCCTGTCTACCAGTGACTCCACTTTCAAGGAACAATGTACCTGCACTCCAAGGTCTCTTTGTTCAACACCACTCACAAGGACCTTACCATTAAGTGTATAAGTCCTGCCCTGACTCACCTTTCCAAAATGCAGCACCTCACATTTATCTACATTAAAGTCCATCTGCCACTCCTCGGCCCTTGGCCCATCTGATCAAGTTCATGATCTAAGCCCAATTTTCTCTCAATATGAACCTCCACTCATACACTGATAGACAAGACATAATTAAGAAATAAATTAGAAAAAGAATTGTGATTTTTCAGATTGATGACCATTTCAACGACAAATACCAGGAGTTCAGGAAACCCCTCAATGATGGATTGTGTATAGGCCCAGAGGATTGTATATCTTGCTTGATACTACAGCAAAACCAAATATAAGCCCAGTCCAACAGCTTCCAAAGCAAAACTGCCTCCTGCCCAAAAAACCTAGTCAGAATTAGTTCATTGTGCTTTTTTCTTTCTTTGTTAACATTTTCCATAGCTAAAATGAAGAGTAGTACATCTGCTAGCTCATTAGCTACTTTTGTAACCAGAAGATGAAGTAACAGCCATGATTGAATAGCAGAGCAGACTTGATGGGCTGGATGGCCTAACACTGCTGCTATATCTTATAGTCTTACATCTGGACCTGCAGACCTGTCAGCCAACAGCTCCACAAGTTTGCTTAGTACTGCTTCCTCCATGATTGCAATTTCACTAAGTTACTTTCTCTCTTCCACCTTCTGATTTATAGTGGGTACAGAAACTTTTTTTGAGTCCTCTATAGTGAGGACAGAAGCAGTTTGTTCACTTGATCTGTCACTTCCTACTATCTCCTATTAACTCCCCAAATTCACTCCCTAAAGGATCATCATTCACTTACTCTGTTCTTTTTTAAAATATTGTAGAAATTCTGGCTACCTGTTTTACATTCCTAACTAGTTCCCTCTTGTACTCTAATTTCTTATTCATAATTAACTTTTTAGTCACTCTCTACCATTCTTTACATTCTAACAATCATCTGACCTGCCACTTTTACACAGCCACAAATCTTTCCTGAAGGTTAATGCTTTCCTTAACCTTTTTAGTTAAGTACAGATGGTAAGCATTCTCTTTAAATTTTTACTTTATAATAGGACTATCTCATTCTGAAATAACCCCTTAAACATCCATCGCTGTGCCTCTATTGACCTATTGCCTAGCCCAGTATCCCAGTTAACTTCTGCTAGCTCAGCTCTCGCATGGGAAAAAACTGCCCTTATTTAGGTTGAGATAGCAAACCTAATCTTCTCCCTTTGAAACTGGGTGTAAAGTTCAATCATTGTGCAGTCATTTCTACCTAGGGGTACATTTACTCAGAGTTGATTAATTAGTCCCCATTACATTATACCAAATTAACGTATCCTGCACTCTAGTCAGTTCCAGAATGTGCTGCTGTAGAAACTGTCTTGAAAACATTCTATGAACTCCTGTTCTACTATTGTCAATGTGACTTTTCCAGCTGATAGACCACATTATCTACTTTTTTTCAGTCTGTAGTTTGAAGCCACGCGTGATTATTACATCTCTTTTTTTCACAAACACCCAATATTTCTTCTTGTGTACTTTGTCCTACATTATAATTACTATTAGGGTTCTGCAGACCACTCTTAGTTTTGATTTCTTTCCTCTACTATTCTTCATCTCCACCCAAAGCAATTCTATATCCTGATATCTTGAACAAATGCCATCCTTAATTAGCAGTGCTACCCCTCCAGTAATCAATTAACAATAATGTGCTTTTTAGAAGTTGAGAACTTGATATTGTGCTGTTCAATTTTCACTTTGAAGCAAAAAAATACCCTCAAAGTGTCTGCGGCATGAGGAAATCCAGACTATATTTGATGTGCTAGAGTCTAAGCGACAAGTCACTGTAATGGATCAGGGTTGGGAATCATTACTGGGAACTTCGCTCTAAGAGACAGTCACATCCCTGAGGCCAGTTACTTCAGATTTGTTCCGTGGTCTGGGAAAGGAGGATGTTACTACTGGTGAGACAGCTTCAGAGATCCAGCAGCTCTAAAAGAGCTGTAACACTTGCTATTATTTAACAGCTTCTTGCAGTCTGAATGGAAAGAACAGGGAATGCAGGGAGTATGAATTCATGTCCACAGCACCATGATTCAGGATTACATTCAAGTTGGGAGGGAATAGAAAGAAATGTAGGAATAGATAGAAAGTTTAGATTACTATTCTCTGCAGCTGAGGATGTGTGTTCTGAATGTTGCATTGTAGAACCATAGAATCCTAGCAACGGCAAGAGGCCATTCAGCCTATCAAGTCTGCACCAGCCCTTCAAAGAGCATGAGACCCAGATCCAACCCTCCACTCCATTCTCATAACCCCACATTTACCATGGCTAATCAACCTAGCCTGCACATTCTTGGACATTACGGGGCAATTTAACATGGCCAACCCACCTAACCTACACAATCTTTGGACCAAGAGAGGAAATTGGACACCCGGAGGAAACCCACTTAGACGTGGTGA